TTCTGAGTCATGACCTTTCAAGATTGTAGGATCTACTTGAGGCTTATTGACTTGCCATATGTAAGCGTTACGGTCGCTTGAACCGCTCAAAATGTACTCACCATCAGGACTTATCATTGTCTGCAGAGTAAGATTTCAATGATGAGTGAGAGGGTTAAAAATGCTAAAAAAATCAAATAAGCTGTCTTATTGCAGAGTAAATTGTGGACATGGCATTATTACCCTGACGAAAAAAGAATCTATTCGGCAACCAGAGAAAGATTGTACAGGTCCTTTGTCAAGCTGTAGTACGTTGTATAGATAGATTCTGCAACAGATTATTGAAAAGGAGAAAACATGTTTGATTAGAGTTGGATGTTTTAACAAGTACTGGGCAATTACTATGAAAAGTTTACAAGTGTTGATATTAAAAGTCAAACCTGTTGTCCTTGCATGATGCTGTGAGTAAGGTTCCACTTGAGTCCTGGGACAAGGATACTATACCATGTCCTCTCTTTTCCTGAAACCACCAAACAAAAATAATAAACATGCTGTAGATTACACTAGTTTTCCATTGGAACCGTTTAGGAATAGGAAACTTAGCTTACCTTAGTGTTTGTTGAGTCTGACTGTGGAGATGCTTGAGCAAAAGGAACTTTTAGCTTTCTTGTATCCCAAAATTTCAAGGCGCTGAGAGAACAGAATAGAAAAAACAAAAGGATGTAAACAACTTAGCTATAAGCTCTATGGAGTAGCAAAATAACATTTACAAGAACTCTTAACTAATGTTGGGTACGTACCTATCTGGTGCTCCAGCAGTAGCAATTGTGATCTCATCCTTGAGATAAAGCACAGAGGTAATGCTTGATGAAGCAGCCTGAAAACACAAAGCCATTAGCGGAGAAGATAGGATAAATGTAAAGAGAAAAGTCACAAATGTGCAGGAGTAAAACCTTGCTACGTCTGGTTCGTTTTGCAAGAGGAGATAGATGAGCTCCTTTGACCATACCGGTATAGCTGTTCAAAGGCCAAAACAACAATCAATAAGGTTTGAAGGAAACGAATAAGCGGAGAAAGATCTTGACAACTAAGTTTAGAGACAAGGACTTACTTGATGCAAAACTCTTCTTTATGAGAGCTACTCTTACATCTTAAATCCCATAGCGCAAAACATCCATCTCTGGAGCCAGAGACAAGAATATCTGCATAACAGCAAGAATTAAGACCTATTACGATGAAAAAAAAACATCTAGTAAACAAAGAAGAAACAATTTCACAAGAAACAAACCAGAATCTGTTGGATGCGAGCACATTGATTTAACAGTTCCTGTGTGTCCTATAAGAACTCCAGTACACTTATTCTCCTCAACATCCCATACTTTAATCTACACTCACATCAAAAGAAAAACCATATCTTAACCTCTGTTGTTCTCACAAACTAGTTTAACTGATAATGTTGTTCTCACTACTTACAGTTTGATCACCAGAAGCAGTCAGAAGACAACTATCTCCCTGGAGAAAAAAATTGAAACAAAACTCACATCAAATAAGATCTCTTAACTCCAGAAGAGATTAATGTATATATAGAGTTCAATGCTGAGAAAATAGCACACCTTGATCCAAGAAATATCGAAGACCGCATTATAATGAGCAACCCAGTCACTAAGCCTGGCATTAACTGAAACAAACACAACTCAACATTCAATTAAGCGGCCAAGAAAATAAAATTGGGTTATCAATGAGAATGAGATGACACCTGTATTCTCTTGGTGAGTTGCAGAAGAGGCGAACTTGGTATTCGAATTAAACAAACTCACATGTCCATCCTCATCTGACACCGCCAATAACTGAGACTTCTTGTTACTCTGTACATTTAACCTAACCGTTAATTCTAATCACAAACGACCATAATTGTAGTACATTTTATTAGATCTAGAGATCAAGCTCCATTAATAGAGCGACGAAGAAAGTTTGTTATGATTAAATTGGTAAAGTTTGTTACAATATGGTTATGTATTTAAACTATCTAATCTCGGTTCAACCAACATGTTAACCGGACTTTATAAAGTCTAATACATTTCTTTAAGTTTAACTAAAATTTGCACAACTAAAAAATCAGAAAATTTCATCTGTAGACTTCAGATTGGATCTAAGAGTTTGTAATTACGATTAAGAATATATATATATATATATATATATATATATATATATATACCTTACAAAACGAAACGGCCAAGGGAGGAGTCCGATCACCATCGTGTTCGACAGCAACGCCGGCTATTTCTTTACAAATCAGCTCTGAATCTGCGTAGAAGAACGGTCGCTTCCTTACTGAAACAAACAACCAAAAAAATGTTTAATCAGCAAAAAATCAGGAGAAGCTGAAAAAAAAACAAGTCAAATAATTAAAAAGAGTTACAAAGATTCTCCAAAAACGCAATGTGAAAACGTGTGGAGATTTCAGATTTTAATTACCTCGGAATCCGTTGAGCTCTCTTAGTCCGATGTCGACGAAGACGGATCTAGATCTGGAGATTTCCATCGGAGATTTCTCTGGAAATCGAATCGGAGGAAGAGAGAAGCGGTAGAGAGATGTGGTCTGTGGAGATTTTTCGCCGGGAGAGGAGAGACATTAATCATTACTTCTTCCATTTTTCGGCGGTGTGTTTTCTCTTTTAACGCGGGAAAATTAATTTTCCCTCGAAAAAACTCGAAATGTTTTGTTTTTGACTTCTAAGAAAAGAAAGCCCAATAAATGTTTTAAAGCCCATTAAGTTTCATAATAAGGGTTGAAATATGGGCCCAGTGAACAGGCTTGCAACTTACTTAGAGAAGAAAGTGGCGGGAAAAAGAACCGTTGTGAGCTAATATACTCGACACCATGGCGCCATAATTTAGACACGCTTTTATTAATTTCCGGTTGTACCCTCACCTCTGCTTCCTCTGTAAGCTTTCCTGTCTTAAAATTCCTGGGGAAGCAAGACCGTGTCTTTAAAAGTCAAAATCTTTCGCAGACTTTTCATTTATTCCTCCATCTTCTTTTTGTCTTCTCACCATCTTGTCTCTTTTCTACGTATCTCTCTCTACTTGATAGGAACTAATAAAGAAAAATATGGGATCTTCGAAGAAATCTCAAGTCATCGCCGATGGTAAAACATGGGTCATCGCCGAAATCTCTATTCGGGCTTCACTGAAACCGATTAAGACGAAGCTGAGAAAGCTCGAGAGAAACAGAAGCTGAAGATGAAGATTGCTGCGTCACTCCCACGGCGAAAGAAGCCAAGGTCTCGGAGAAACTGATATGTCCACCTGCGCCAAGGAAACGCCGACCGGCGTTGAAGTGTCGGAGTAATGTGGGTGTAGAGTACTTTGTGCCTCCTTCGGATTTAGAGTCATTGTTTGTACGACGCTGTTAATGTAAAACGATATGTATTCTCAAATACTCTTTTGTCAATTAGCTTCAACTTAAAAGCTTTTAGAATAGATTTGATCAAAAGAAAAAAAAAGCTTTTAGAATAGATTCTTTTCTCAAAAATTTATGGGCTTTTAATTTGTTTTAATTTGATCTTTCAACAAAATCTAGAAAACAAAAAAGGAATTCAGACCAATTTGATTGAACACTCTTGAATCATCTCTGCTATTGTGTCTTGCGGCACAAGATGTCAGCTTCTTGAAACAGAATTTAATTCAAGAGCGAAGATCCTAACGAAATAAAAATGCACCTCCGTTACCTTTCTCCACTGTTTCGCCGCCAAAAAATTGTTTACTCGCCGTTGCCGGGGATCGAACCCGGGTCACCCGCGTGACAGGCGGGAATACTTACCACTATACTACAACGACTCTGTTGTTCTAACTTTTGTTTCGAACTATATTGATGTTAATTGTTCAGGATCGTCTTCCTCTAAACCCCTCAACCTCCATTACGGCATGCTCAACAACTTCTTTCTTTCTCTCTTGTTCGAATTCGTTTTCACCAGTTCTCCTTCTGCTACTAACTTCACTGGCAAAAGGTCCAATGTTCATGAGGAAGAGTCTCTCGAGACATTGCTCAAGGACTTGTAAATGATCCTTATCGCTTTTTTTGTGTTTCAATCTTGAAGGAATCTGGGTTTATCATCGAATCATGTCACAACCAATATGATGCTTCAACCTGGTGACTCCAGTGAAGGCAATTCAAGTTCATTTCTTCCACTAATGCATCAAGTCTTCAAAGGATGGTCTCGAGCTATGTCTACATCGAGAGGAAGGAGCATGAGGAGTAAAGTGGAGATTAGAATGCGTAAAGAGTCTGGTAAGACGTTACGAGAGATTAGGCGTGCTAAAAAGTTGAAGAAGAAACTCATTGTTTGAGGTGAAAATGGTTCGAACAATATAAAGAGAGATGAGGGCGAACAAAGACGTTTTATTAGATCTGAACAAGGAGTTACAAAGAGAAGAGTGAAGAGGCGGACTAGCCGGAAGTACAAGATGGTGAGTAAACGGGAAGGTGACTAAACAGGAAGGTGACTAAACGAGACGGTGACTAGACAGGAAGGTGAGTAAACGAGAGGGTGAGTAAACCCTAGATCTAACCACCTAATCGCTAAGAAACCCTAGATCTAGCCGCCAAGTGAGTATGTCGAATTCCGGATCCCCTTTTCCCTTTGCTGCCTCTCTCCTTTTATAGATCCAATCTTCGTGTTCGCGCTAACTTACCCGAGCCTTATTGGGCCTTATTACTGCTAGGCCCGTTTAGTACTTCGGGTAAATCGTACTTCCGTCGACTCTTCTAGAACACGTTTAGTCGCGCTACTAAACGCGTCTCATACCGAGTCGTTTTGGTGTTTCCCAGTGGGCCGAATATATTGTCATGCTGGGCTAAATTTCCTCATTTGATGGGCCTTGTGGAGGGGTATAACCCATCTCCTACACTCATGACTGATGAAGAAAGACTCATTTACAACCTCAAAAGGGTATTATTGCCATTAATCAAGTATAAAACTTTATGTGTAGTTTTTTTGCTTACTGTGTATATGATGCAGGCAAAGAAGAAAGTTGCGCTTCTATTGCAAAAGCTAAAGAAATACGATCTCCCTGAGCTGCCATCTCCAGTACATGATCCAGAACTTTTCACACCAGAGCAGATTCAAGCGTCCAAGAAAACAGGTTTCAAGAACAAAAACTATGTCCCTGTTGGTGTTCGTGGAGTATTTGGAGGAGTGGTTCAGAATATGCATATGCACTGGAAGTTTCATGAGACGGTGCAAGTTTGTTGCGATAACTTTCCGAAGGAGAAGATTAAATAGATGGCGACTATGATAGCGAGACTGAGTGGTGGAGTGGTTATAAACATACATAATGTGAAAACTATTATTATGTTCCGTGGTAGAAACTATAGGCAGCCTAAGAACCTGATCCCTGTCAATACCCTCACAAAACGAAAGGTTAAGTAGTATGGTGGCATTTTGGGTATCTGTTCGGTTTGTTTTGGTTTTTGTTTTTCGGTACTAGAGATATAGCATCTGTTTGGATGTTTAAATAATTTGATTCGGTTTATTTTGGGTTTTGTTTTTCGGTACAAGAGATAGAGGATATGTTTGGATGTTTAAAAAATTTGGTTCGGTTTATTTTGGGTTTTGTTTTTCGGTACAAGAGATAGAGGATATGTTTGGATGTTTAAAAAATTTGGTTCGGTTTATTTTGGTTTTTGTTTTTCGGTACTAGAGATATAGGATATGTTGAAAAATTCGGTTCTGTTTATTTTGGTTTTTGTTTTTCGGTACTAGAGATATAGGATTTGTTTGGATGTTTAAAAATTTTGGTTCGGTTTTAGTTTGGTTATTTTGATTCTAGTAACAAAATTTGGAACTGGCTAATATAGGAGATAATTTTGGTTCCAATTCTAGTTCTACAGATATATGATCCGCTCGGATAATTCATAGGATCGAACCCCGAACCAAACCTCATTTTTTGGTTCGGTTCGTAAGAACCAAACAAATGTGTTCAGGCCTAGGTATGACGATGTGCAAACCCATATCATTTTCTCAGATGATCATTGTTGTGTTGCTTGCTCTAACTTATTATTTTGTAATGGTATGGTATGAACAAGTGTCTATGCTTTTGCAGGCTTTATTTAAAGCGAGATTTGAACAAGCACTTGAATCACAGAAGCTGAACATCAAGAAAACAGAACAGCAGCTAAGGAGAATGGGTGTTAACCCTGAAGATCCTGTTGCAATGGCTAGCATCCAGAGAGTGGCTTCAACGTTCTTCAATGCAATCGATAAAAAAGAAGGAAGCCCGTATGTCTTCCATTTAGATAAACAATTAGAAGGACGGACTAGTGTGGTAAATACAGAAGAGTCAGAAGCTGTTGATGAAGATAGTGACCAGGAGGAGCTAGACAGATTCATAGCTGAGATTGAAGAGTCAGCAGACAAGGAGTGGGAGGAAGAAGAAGCTGCGGAGCAAGAAGAATCTGGTAGGATAAGGTATTGGAACCGAGAGGAGTTTGCAGGAAGAAACAGAGGACCTTATGGAGACTCAAGTCATGGCTTTAGAAGAAATGAAAGGGATACACGTATCCAGAGGAGATCCGATGATAGTGATGACAGTGATCAATTAGATTCTGATAATGATGAAATCCCAAAGAGATTTGATAGGCCAAGATCAAATACAAGAAGGCAGGAACATGATTTTGTGAGAAGAGGTCCCGTTCCTCGAGCTCAAGTGAGGAGTGATGAAGATGTGTTGAGTGATCTTGATAACACAATGTGGGATTCTGGAGATGAAGAAGATGCACCAGCTAACTACATTTCGAGCAGTGATGAGGATGAAGATGAAAACAGGAAATTATCGGCATCTAAACAACCAAGATTCAGTAACAATAATAGTTCAAGAGATGGTATCAACAATTCTAAGAACAAGAATGGAAAACAAAGGGATGAGGATTGGGATAGTGATTATGGTCTTTATCATATTATTACAATGAGAAATGAAAGATGTTACAACTCTGGTCTGAATATTGAAAGCTAATATTCTCTGTTGTTAGGCTTTGGTTTGTGATGATTCAGTGGAAAAAGAAGAACATGATATGCCAACGCTCTGTTCACTGCATCAGGTTCTTGTTTTGCAATGACAGAACTATCTTTTTGGGTTGATAAGTTCTCTAAATTTGCTTTAAGTTGTAAAAGATAACTTGTGAGATTGTCAATGCACTATTTGTATTCCACAAGGTAACTTCCTCTTTAAACCCAACCAGGAAACTGTTAAAAGTAGTTTTATGAAAAACATAGATACACATGGCAGATTAGTACAAGATTCCTTCTGAAGAGAGCAAAAGTAGAGAATCTAACTGCAACACTGAAAAAAGACTGACCACTAAACAACAAGTCTGTAGAGATCAATTCCTCCCTCCCTCCCTACCTAATCTTTTAATCTTCCAACAAAATATAATTCTCCTAACTTCCAACTTCTCTAGATTATTTAAAGTTATTCCTACAGATGTTGTTGTGTTTGCCATCTTCCCGCTACAGTTAGAACACAAAATATACAGAAAGCTGGTAGAATTTAGGGCTTAATCATCACAAAGCGACGCCATTAGATTCTTTGGTGAACTCCAAACATCAAGATCAAACAGTGTCTGCTTCACTTCTTCTTCTTCCACTCTAACTATGTTTTCTGCAACTTCGCACAGGTTTGAGACATCATTAATCATCACTTCTTGTGCTTCCGCCTGTAAATTCCCAAACATGTAAAACTAATTTAATATATAAAATAAAACAATAATTTTAAAGTAAGACAAAACCAAGCAACAACTTATTTTAATTACAATAGAGAGAAGCTCGTCGAGGAAACTAGACGCGGAATTATTATTTTCCCGAGCTCGAGAATCTCGAAACGACGCCGCTTCAGCGTTTAACCTCTCTTCTCGCTCCTGCGTTGTTTGGAACCGAGAAGCTTTCTCTTGTGTAGCGTTGAATCTGTTTGAGAGAATCTCCCACTGATGGATCTCTCTCTGGTACTTGCTTTTGAGGTTCAACAGTGTTGTCTTCTTCCGTTTCCTTCGATTTCTCTCGACGACGGCGGGATCTAACTCCGGAACCACCGGATTGGAGGTTTCTCCAGGGGGTTCGGAGTTTTGGATTCGTTTGAAAACGAAGCCGTCGTCGTTGCATAGTACCCAATCTTGGTCTCTTTCCATCGCAGTGGTGGAGATAAGAGTGTTGGATTTGGTTTTAGATCTGCAAATAGAAATGTTTTACAGCTCAGAGTGATAATAATAAAATAATATTGGGCCCATAGTTTAGAATTTATGAGGCCGAGTACATATAGATGGGCCCAAAATAAAGCCTGTAAAAAAGGAAAAAAAATGGGGGCGTTCCGAGAATTGAACTCGGGACCTCTCACACCCTAAGCGAGAATCATACCACTAGACCAAACGCCCTCTTGTTGATATTAGCTTGAGTTAAATTATTAGGCGTATAACTGGTGATACTTCATTTCATGCATCTCATCACAAATTTTCATGTTCTCAAGTGGTGTTTTCTGTTGATTTTAGCCAACCTCCTACGTCATTCTCTTATTGTCAATCAACTTCAACCAAATGATCAACCAAAAGTAGGTTAATTTCAATCATTCTGCGTCTGGAAGTGTAGTCAAGTGTGGATGAAAGCCATTAAATAAAAATGTTGTGTTTTGTCTAATAAATTACATATTTTAGTGATAACACGATTACCACATCTTCAAAGTATTGGGTTCTAGTGCCCAAGGAGGGCATATGGATGTAAGTAGTAGATTTGCTCTTTACGTATACATTGTTGCATGACTCTTTCAGTCTGTTGATGTGTTAGGCAGTTAGCCTACAACTTTGATTGATTTTCTTTTTTTTTATATATAAAGTGATAAAAGTAAGAAGCGCATATTATTTATCTATATTTCCTCCCTGAGTTCTCATACAATACTATGATTTAACAAAAGAAAATAAAAAAATTAACGTATGTGCTTAGAATATTTCCTTAGCAGAGAGGTTAAAAGAGACTGCTCTCCTTCCACAAACACAAAACGAAAGCAACGGAGTGAAAGTCTGAGAGAGAGACAGTTTTTGTCTTTGGTTACCGGTGAGGTCGTGAAGAAGAAACATTCTTGTGAGCAGATGCTTCATAGTAAGCTTTCTCTGCTTCATCCAATCTGTCTTGGAACATCGTCCACTCTCTCCTACACCTTTCCCTCACCTGAGATAACAGATTTAAAGTCAGCAACAGACTTTGTTATACCTTAAAGACTACAAAACACAATAGACTCTAGAATGGATAGTTACCCCTTCCCATGGCTGTTTCCCTTGCTCTTGTTGTCCCTGTCAGGTTTTAGATTCACCAAGAATAAATGAGCATAGGTTAACAACTCTGTTCAATGTATTTTACATAACTCAGCCAATATATATAATAACTACTGCAAATTTCTACTGAATGACTGGGATTGCATCAAAGCCTATATTTACCGCAGCAAGAACTACATATATTGTGAATTTTTATACTAATATTTGTATTGGTTTTGACGTTGAGAAATGTGACTACATGATTTAAATAGTTACTCTCTATGGTCCTGAAATTGCTGCAGTGGTCCTAGTTATCTTCGATATTTAGTGGAAAATGAGTTATATAGTTTCTAAAGCCATAAAATAAATGGAAGAAGAAGTTGTGAACATACTTGGTTTCCCAGTGATGGAACACCTTGATGAATAATCCATTGAGCATCTACCACTCCAATTTTCTCGTGTGCGTTCTATTAATTGCAAGATTAATGAGAACATACATATGAAACAAGTGGGTATATAATCCATGACAAGGATATCTAAATGTGGATTTAAGTGTGTCCAAAAGGAAGTGAAGTTGCATACCTGAACGCATTTTCGAACCGCAAAATCTAGACCCCATCCATGAATTAAATCGTTCTGCAGTTATAAGGTACAATTAGCATTTGCTGAAGAGAAACAAAGAGGGACTCGGAGTTTGGTTCTTTTTTTTCATACCTGAATCATATGCCACACACAGCGCCATGCTTTACGGGAGAAAACAGGAGCCATAATCTCAACGAATCTGATTGTGATTTACACAAGTATGAATGATAAAGATATCCACTCTTTATGAAAATCAATCTTGCTAAGTTATTGACAGGTATATAAAGTAGCATACGCTGCACAAGGGGGTAGATTTGGATCACTGCACCAGCCATTCCTCTCCTCAGCATGCCTGCAAGAACATGCAAACCCGTTGAATAAGATCATTGCAGTAGTAAAAGAAGAACTTAGGAACTTTATTATATATATATATATATTATCCTCACTTGTGAACTTCAGTGTCATCTCTTTTCTTTGTCATCTCCCATGTGAGACCTTCATATGGCTCTAACCCAGGCTGTGAGATTTCTAAACCATGTTTTTTCACCACCGCCAAATATCTATCATATCATTTAAATGTTAATAACCTTAAAAGCCATAAGAAGAAAGTCAAAGCTTCAAAAACATACTTCTCTGCATCAAAGTGTTCCATGCCAAGATCCTCGTCCCATATAAAGATATAATCATAGGGAGCAACTATGTCCGGATGAAGAAACCTCTTGGCGTACCACCTTAAGGAAAAATCATAGATTTTCAAGTAAAGCTCCTATTAGAAGGAAGATTGGTGCTCCTAGTTATGAAGTTACTAACCATTTTGTTTGTTTCCTAATGCTCACATGAATGGCTCGCTTGGACCATTCAAACTCTTCCCACTCGCTGGCCCGGCCATCGTAGTGAAACAGCATTATAGTGAAGTTATCTGAGAACTGAGAGTTTCAAAAGTTAAGAAATGAAAAAAAGAAAGAAGGAGATTAGAAAAGAAATACAGAAGGCAAGGATACCTTCTTCAACGCAGCGTCTATGTTTTTCCTCTGACCATAACCAACGGTAAACGTAACTAGATACCGCTGCTTCGTTTTCAAATCCTAAAAAAACCATAACCAATCAAAATGTTAATATGATCCTAAAGCCATACTGATATATATACAAAAGCCAGTACCTCATTAGGGTCACCCCACAATCGACGGAGGTATAAATCTGATTCAGGGGTGACTATATCTGGAGGTAGCCTCTCAGCACCACGAGGATTAGTAGGAACCCATATCTGCAACACCTCTGACAAGTTACATCATCATTGCATAATAAAAACATACAAAGTTCTTAACAAGAAACGGTGTAGCTTGACCCAAACCTTAGTGTCATTGTAGGTATAGGGTGGATCAGGGATGTCTTTATTGAGTTTGGGGCTCTTTGTGGAAGACCAAGAGCTAAAGAGTCTTTTTCTTGATAAGTCTGAGTATTTATCCTCAATGTATGCAAGATCGATGGAAGGAAACAACGTGGACGGAAGATTCATCTTAACCATTTCAAAACAAGAAGATAAAAAAAAAACCATTACCGTGTAAGCATATGACATAATCAAGCAAAGAAGGTATAGAGTGCACCAAGAAGAGAAAGAGTTGTTCTTACCTTAGTTAAGGTGAGAGTAGGGAAAGTAATACCCATAAGGAAACCAACTATAACTCCAAAAAAAGATGCTAAAAGAAGCTTCATCATTTGGCTGGGTCTTCTCATGTTTCCCACTGTGTACCTCTCTACCGGATTGTAACAGAAAACAGTTTTAATACTTCACTTAGATACTTGATGAAGTTAGTGTACTTCCAACACATTGATTAATCCTTCTGAATAAAAAAAAAAACAGAAGCACTCACTACTGAATGTACCTACAAGTTATTAGTACCTGATTATCTACTGTCTATGCAGGTGTAAAGTTTGTTAACAAACAAGTGCACATGTTCATCCCTTCGCTTTCGTCACAATTGCATTCTTGCATCTAACTACAACAACAACAACAAAATTACAAGATTAACATGATTAACTCAAGAAGACTCTTTCAGGATCCTGGAAGAGATGAGCTTTATAAAAGCCTACCAATCTATAGTATATACTGTGAGCAATATAACCACATAGTGGAGACTCTTTTATCAATAACCAATCCACAATAGTAAATGGATACACAGAGCTATTGTAAACCACTAATCACTACCAAAGCAACAATCCTTTTCGAAATTAACATAAGTATTCAAACATATATTACCGACAAGAATTCCAAATAAGAGAAGGACATGCGAATTGCATACCGAAATAGAAACGGGATTAAACGAGACCTGTTGTCGGTTCTGTCTGAATATTGGCGACAGAGAGGAAGAAAACAAAAAAGAAAAAGATCAGAAACCGACAAAACGCAAAACTGGTAAAGCGCCGATCACAAGGGACGAGCAAAAACGGATTCTGGTTACAACGTGTTATCGAGAGATCTTCTTCTTTAGCTTTTGAATCCACAGCAAATTGGTCCACGCTTTGACGAAATTTACTGCAATGGAAACGGTAAAATCGGCATGGCAGCCTTCTAAATTGTTTTTCATCTTCTGTGTACGATTATTTAAGGCCCATCAGAGGCCTAATGTATCTTTCCTGGGCCTTCATACAGGCCCGTTTAAATAAGGCATGATTTACACGTGGCAGAATTTAGTGAACGCATTGGAACCTTCAGTGGCCACCACAACGGTGCCGTTTGGTGCTGTGATGTCTCAAGTAAGCCTCGGCTCGTTGGTGGTGCAATTGATGAATATAAATGTTATATAGTAACACACTCTTGTTTAATATTGTTTGTGAGTTTTAGGAGACTCTTCGAGATTGATTACTGGTACGTAGTGCTGACCAGACTGCAAAGCTATGAGGTGTGAAAACAATCACATCGCTCTGTTCTGTAAAGCAGCTGATGATTCTCACTTCCTTTTACAGGTTCACTTGACAACACTGCAAATGCATGTGTTCCTTTGAGTACCTCTGTTAATTAGTTAACCGATCGATCTAGACGACCCGGTTGGGTCGATTATGGAGACGGACCGGTTTAGCTGGTAGATGACCACACCGACAGTGACACGAGATTGTAACTTGTCGGTGTCGTGAAGCATGATGGCATGTCTGTTTATTTATTTAACTAATAACATAAAGGCTACATTTGTCAAAACAGAACACAACTGAACTAGGTTTTTGTCCTAAAATCTGGTGTTGTCTCCTCTTCTTCTACTTCGTTTGTCGTCTACAACTTCTCATCCTGGTTTAGCTGGTTAAGATTAAAAAAAAAAAAAAAAATCCATATCATTTTAAAAGATGAGGCCGATATTGATGAAGGGGCATGAACGTCCATTGACGTTCCTAAGGTACCACAGAGATGGTGATCTGCTGTTCTCCTGCGCCAAGGATGACACTCCCACTCTTTGGTATGCTGATAATGGTGAACGCCTTGGAACCTACCGTGGTCACAACGGTGCTGTTTGGTGCTGTGATGTTTCAAGTAAGACTGGTGCAATTGATGAATTTAAATTGTTATATAGTAGTAACCCTTTTGTTTTTTTTTTTTTTTTTGCCTTGAGATTTTGTGTCTTTATTATATAGTAACCCTTTTGTTTGTGAGTGTAGGAGACTCGTCTAGATTGATAACTGGTAGTGCTGATCAGACTGCAAAGCTGTGGGATGTGAAGACGGGACAACAGTTGTTCTCATTCAAATTTGGTGCTCCAGCGAGGTCTGTGGATTTTGCTGTTGGAGATAAGCTTGCAGTGATTACCACTGATCCTTTCATGGAACATACTTCTGCTATTCATGTGAAACGAATTGCGGAAGATCTGGAAGACCGTAAGTTACTTATGTATGCTATATAAAGATATATAATATCTATATTATGCTTAATGTTATAATTTTTGAATAATAATTAGAAATTTTAACTTTTAATTTCAAATAGTTGTATAATCAAAATTTTCAATATATATTTTTAGAATATCTATGAGATTTAAAATATTTCGACAACATTAACCTTAGTCATTAAAAATATTTATCTTACAAAAAAGTAATATTATAATTAATTCAAATAATTAGTTGTAGAAGTACTTTATCTTTTATTTTGATGTGTTAAACCTGAAATACTCAAGTTTTAAAAGAAAAAAAGAGAATTTTTTTGTATAACTTCGGTAGAACCAATACAATGATCGGAGACTTGAATCTTGAAAATGTTTTGTAAATGTTCTTGTGTGGGTTTATAAAAAAAACATAAAATGATATAATAATTGCTTACCTACAAATCAATTTCTTTTATATAAGAATATATAACTATTAAATTTATTTCTATAAAAATGTTAGAATATTTATTTAATAATATACTAAATAATTAGTGAAAATAAATAAATTGATAAAACATATATATTATTTCTCTAATGCTACAATTAGTTACCATAAATCAATATTTTAAATGAAAAATTGTCTAAACTACCATTTTCTTAGTACCATATTTCATCAAGACCAACGTACTCAGTCTTATGTAGCGTTTGGTGGTCCTATTTGGCTTGCTCAGATCCTCCAGCTAGAGGCAAGAACTGTCTGAACCGATTGCTTAATTTGTTTTCCTTGAGTTTATTTGTCTCTCTATTCCTGTTGGGAGAGCCTTTTTTGTGCTCATTTCCTTTGCTTGTTCTGCTCTGGTGCCTACTCGTTTAAGCAATTTCTCATAATTTTCCAAATCACAAATTACATTTTCTCACTCATTTTTTATTCACTGTTTAACATAAAACTCAAATGCGTTAAACAAACAAATTCTTCCTTAAATTATCTCTGATCATCATATTATTTGATCAAACACTAATTCATCGGACTAAATATTATTTACTAAAACTAAGCATAATTTAGATATCTTTTTTTAAAAAATAAGATTTTAAATTAATTTAAAACATAGGTATCTTAATTAAATGTGATTAACTAATTATATATAAATAAAAAAAATATTTTTTTAAAATAATGAAATGTCATTATTTTAGGCATATATACTTAATATTAATGTGAGATCCAATATTAAATAAAAATGTTTTTATTTGTATAAAATTTGTTAAATTTTACTATCATACATTATAAAATTTATTATATCACAAAAATACATCTCATTGTTTTTGAAATAAACTTTTCTTACTTTCAGTTTCCATTAGATGTTTAAAAAATGAAAAAGCAACAACCAATCAAATTATAACAATTAATCAGAAAGCTTTTCTACGAGTGATATGTCAGCAAAAATCACTTAAATAAGTTTTCAATTAATATATATGAGGATATGTAGAGGGCAGTATCAATGGATACTATGCAAATTTTTATTTTGTAAAAACAATTAACACAAGTTTGCAAAAAAGGTCCTAAAGTTTGAAAACATACGCTTAATTTCACCTAAATTTTTCTAAAAAACAATTGGACAGAAAAATTTGGACCGTGAGCAAATGCATCTTGTAATTGGAAATGCTACAAAGTCTTGAATCTGTAAATTTGATTACTGTTGCAGAGACTGATGATTCTGTGCTTATCCTTCAAAGTCCTAATGGGAGGAAGACGATAAACAGAGCTGTTTGGGGACCCTTGAACCAAACCATTGTTAGTGGTGGTGAAGATGCTGTGATCAGGATCTGGGATGCTGAGGTAACTCAAGAGTTACTTAAGCGGTTTACGGTGTATGGTGTATCAATTCACTTTTTATTAACTTTGACGACTATGTTGTTGCTAGACTGGTAAATTGCTCAAGGAAACAGATGAGGAAGTGGGTCACAAGAAGCCAATCAGATCGCTTTGTAAATCAGCTGATGATTCTCACTTCCTTACAGGTTCACGTGACAAAACCGCAAAGGCATGTGTCTATCTTTTGATTCAAAGCTGTCTAGTTGTATATATATATAGTCTTGTCTGATAAGAGTGTTTCTTGTTTTGTTTAGCTGTGGGACATGAGAACGTTGACTCTTATTAAGACTTACACGACAGGGGTGCCTCTAAATGCTGTCTCCATGTCTTCACTTCTGGACCATGTATGTACTAATAAGCCCAGAAATTTTCATTCAAACATAATAATAATAATAATAAATAAAAAGCCAAGAAATTTGAATACATTAAGTCATGAATGTTTTCTTTATGCTCTCCCTCTCTTTCTTAGGTTGTGCTTGGAGGTGGTCCAGATGCATCAGAAATTACGACTACTGAGCATCGTGCTGGGAGTTTCGATGCTAAATTTTATGACAAGGTTAGTCATGTTATTATCATAAGAGGTGGCTTATTACAATGCAACCGGGAATATGTTTTATAACATAATATAAATATACAGATTCTGCAAGAGGAATTTGGTAGTGTGAAAGGTCATTTTGGACCTATAAATGCTTTGGCATTCAACCCTGATGGAAGGAGGTAACGTAACATTATCTTTTTGATTCACATAACGATGAGTTTTTTTTTTTTTTTGCTGAGTTTTGTGAATGTTTTCTTCCCAGTTTCTCTAGTGGAGGTGAAGATGGGTACGTCAGATTGCATCATTTTGACGCTGATTACTTCAACATCAAGATTTAGATCGTTTTTTGTAACAAATCTCTCAATCTGGATTTTGTTCTCTCTTTTCGACATAATAAAGTACCAATACTTTGATGGTTCTGTAATATGAAACTTTTGGATTATGGTTCGAGTCCTCACTTTTTATACATTTCAAACTTGTTTAATTACAAATTTTTTTTTTTAAGCTACATGTTTCATTCAGTTTTAATATTTGGAAAACATGATTGTTTCTCCCTTTCTTGGCAAGTCATATTCGAATCTAGCCAAAATAAATCAATTTATAGTATAACCATAAGCAAATACAAAATGTGACTAAATATATAATGTAAGGTGTAATTTGGGATAAACAGAGAATTTAAACGAATGTTGGCAAAAAGAAACAGAACATCCTTTCAGATAGCTTTGGTTACGGATGGATTAAGAAGTATAAAAGAAGAAACAAAACATCCTTTTAAGAGATTACTTTGAGATTTGCAGACCAGGTTGGAGCTTTTTTGAATTGTCAGTACCAAAGTAACGGTCTGCAAATTCTCCAAGGCCTGGAATCACACGCGAGTCCTCATTGAGTGATGCATCGATCTCCGAAGTCACAATCTTTACCATCGGATGTTTCTTGCAGAGCGCATGAATACCTTGAGGTGCCTGCCGTTTTAGTACTCTTGAGTCAGTAAAAAAAAACATAGGAGATTACGTAGACAAAGGTTTTGTTTGGTTGGTTGTTTTACTGCTATGAGGTTAAGAAAGATGATATGTGACTCTGGAACTCCCTTGCTAGTAAGCAAAGATATAGCCTTCACCGCAGAGTTACCTGTTAACACAATTACATGTTAGACATTACTGTTAATAAATTTTGTAAGGGTTACTAGGAACCTGAAGCTAGAACAGGGTCAAGGAGGAAGACATGTCTGCTTGCGATATCTTTTGGTAACTTCTCATATATCAACTGCACGGAAAATATCATTCAAATCATTTAGCTGAGAGATGTGTGAGGAAACGTATTCTCAGAAAAAAAAAAAGAGAAACAAACCTGACGACCATCGTTGTCCTCTCTGTGGATTAAGATTTTACCAATCTTGATTCCGTTGCAGCAAGCCCTTAGAGCGTTCTCCATGCTTTCTCCACTGTAAAATACCAAAAACAACAGACAGTAATTGATAATGCATGCACATTGGATGGTAATATACACACATAAGTATATTGTTTATTTTTTTATTTATCCAGAGACCAAGTCACACATGATGTAACGCAGATTTTTTGATGAATAAATTTAACATTTTTTTAGTCCAATGTTAAATTTTATTCAATAAAAAGAACTTTTGTTTACACTTTAAATTTTGAACATTCATTCAAAAAGATAAAAAAAAAAATGTAATGTAATGTAATAGATACCTTCTGATTACAGAGACGCCACACAATCTCTTGCAAAAGTCAACTCCAGTGTACACTGATCCTGTTATGTTTTAAAACATGCAAACTTTCATTACCGTTTAGTCCTACCTTTTTCTCAAACTTCTTACTAGTTTAGCTACCTGTTGGAGTAGTTATCTGTTTCTCTGTGAAAGGAAGATGACCAAGTCCATGTTCCACAACCTTAAACACATACAACATCCACTCTTTAGTTATTGAACAATATTATGTGAAACCTATATGTTTTGGCTTTTACCAATCGAATCAATCGGTCAGCGTAGAAGACGAAATCATGCTTTGTAGTGTTGACATCACGGATAAGTGTATGCATTCCTTTGATCTGGAAGGTAGAAGATATGATGAAGATGTTTGAGTATATCTTACAGAGATTGTGTTGGCATAGCTTTGTACGGATATGTTGAACAATGAGGTCAATTGCAACATCATTGTCTCCTCCTCGTGGAATGATTATATCAGCATACTTCATCGATGGCTGGATGAATTCATCAAAGCTCGGCTTCACAAACTTTGTATACTGAGAAAATGAAATAAACATTTACATATATCTTCCACTCAACAACACCAATAGTAAAATAATAATAAACTTTTTTGGCTTCCAACTTAAAACTAATTGGCAGTAAATATAATGGTCTAAATCAATTATATATTATTCATGTCTAATCAAATTTCTGATGTAGAAGCTTTAAATTATCACATCCTCTCTCAAGATGATTGTTCTGTGACCATTAATCTCGACAATATCCTAACATAAGGTTCGGGTGGCCAGACAAATTTTGGTAGGTCAGGCATCTTTTCGAGTCTGACCGTATTGGTTTCGGGTTGGATAGCGTGTCTGATACCATGGTTTCGGGTTGGATAGCGTGTCTGATACCATGTAAAGTTTCATAAGTTCCCATTTAAAATCAATTGGCAGTAACTGGAGTAACCCAAAAGTCATGTTTTAGTAAAACTCCCGAGCTTTATATTCTCACAAACAGATAGAGAAATTATCACTGACCTGTTCAAGCACGTTTTGGATATTTCTTCCTCTCTGGACAGTATCACGTTGTATTCTCCTCGAGAGACGTACATCAGCATCTGCATTGGTGAATCTTGTGAGCAAATAAATGATTCATCTAAAGGCTGAGAGAGTGTATACACAAACAAAACCTGTATCAACAAAGATCTTCATGTTCATGAGGTCACGAACTTGAGGATCATTAAGAACCAATATCCCTTCTAAGATGATTACGTCAGCTGGGTTAACCGGACTAGCTGATTCAATGCTCTTGTGGGTTTTGAAATCATAGCTAGGGATACTCACTGGTTGTCCAGACCGTAGTTTCTCCATACAAGAAAGCAAAACCTCCGTGTTGAACGCGTCTACGTATACGTAGTTGCATGTTAAAACGTGAATGAAACAAAAAAAAAAACAAATCGATTTGATTTACTAGTTAATTAATTACCAGGATGATCGAAATTGTATTCGTGAACCTTCTTTAATTTCTCTTCACTAAGCGAATGATAAAATGAATCCTGAAATCAATTTTGTTATTACAATTTTTAAGTTCCCGACAAGAAGTGAATAGGATCCGTGACAATATAAATGGGAAACGGAGTGTGTTACTTGGTTCACAAGGACGACACGTTGATCGTGTAACTGAGACATGATCATGTCGCATACCGTTGTCTTCCCTGAGGCGGTTCCACCAGCAACACCTGGATGAATAGATCGGTTAGATCAAAAACTCGGACAAAACTGAGGGTTAAAAAATCGTGACGGAGATGGCAAAATGTACCGATCACGAAAGGCTGTTTAAGAGGAGCCGGAGCTGACGGGAAGTGATCTCCGACGCCATTAGATAATTGCTCCATTTTCTTCTTCTTTTTCTCAATCTGATTAGTCTAGAATCTAAACGCTTACTCAGAAAATCAAAGAACAGAGAACAAATCTGGAAAATAAAATTAGATAATAATGGTTTGCTATATATATGTGTGTATTATGTATGTGTAGTGTATATCATGTAGCTTAGGTTTTCACCTGATGTGCATGTAAAGGCGCGTCTAGAAAAACAAGCGGGGCAGACGACGCCGTTTCATAAGTCATGTGGACGATTCGAGTTATCTTTAATTAAAGAAAACTAAATTAAAATATTATACAGTCTCGATCTGAAGAGATTATAGGTTTAGTTCCGAAACTTCGTGGTTTACAAACAAACAAAAAGTTGAAATGGTTTTGTAGCTTTAAAATTATATTAATAGAAATTTTAAAATTCATCTCTCGCAAATGTCCATAGACATAGCAGACGCATTACACTTGTAACATTACGTTGAAAAAAACTATATAAAAGTCTTTTACTATTCATTAGAACATACGAACCACTGCGTAAACAATGATCCTTTAATACATCTCTCTTACGATCTCCTTATCATCGTTATACTGAACAATCAACAATGGCCACCTCGTCGACAACTTAGTGCTCCTGCCGTCGTCGTGATGGAACCCACAAGCGATGACGGCCTCGCACTTAGGCTAGAAGCTCTTGCATAAGTCGATGGAGCTCCGGCACCGGATTGTCTGAAATATGCTCCGTTCAACAACATGTCACCTTCCGATCTCCAATTCCAGTCTCTCCATTGGCTTTCGGGTGCATCTTCATGTTTTGTAACCTTTTGTTATAACATGAAAAAATGTCACATTTTAAGGGTTTTATCCTCTAGCATGCATAATGTTCAAAAGTAGAAGGACCATTACGCTAAATGCTTGGGTCAAATGTCACATGTTAAAATTTCCTAAATCTCAAATTATTAAAAATTCACAACAAGTACCTCTTTATTAAACCGGGTCTCTGGAGCTAGAAATCTATTGCCTTGGCTGTATATCGTTGGATTAGCACTTCCACCGATGGCATACATTTCCCAGTGAGTATAATCATTGTTCACCACATGGAAATATCCATGCCTGCACCTGTTTATTGTATGGAAAAAAACACTATATTATTAACAGTAATGCTTATATGACATATGTTATGAAATAAATACTTTGTATAGTGATGTGAACGATCGGTTGTGGTTTAAAAAAGTCTCATTCTCCGTTTGTTGACTATTTACATAATTTCCAAAGTCATGCTTTCACATGCACACTCTTTATGCAAACGCAAGCTTCTATGTATCTATGTGACTATGTGCGTATGTGTGTCCGATTACGGAAAATAATATAAAGTTGTTACCGTGGCATCCTTTGAACGAGCCCTTCTCCGAAATGGTTAAAAGCAATAGTGACTTGCATGTTCTTGTCCTCTGTATAACTATCACTATGCCCTAAAAGCATGACCTTGTCATGGTGCGTCATATGGTTGTTCGATATAGTTATAGCCGTGGAACCATGTATGGCGTCAATAAGACCATCGTCGCAGTTCGACAATGAGCAATGGTCAATCCACACATGTTTCCCTCCAAAAATCGCCACTGCGTCTCCATCTGATGGGTTCCACATTCCAGTATGATCTGGACCATCTCTAATCATGCCACCTATAACACACAAATTAAATATATTAGCATGTTTTATATAGAAAATTATGGTTCTATTTAGTCTAAATTTGTCTCACCAGATCCTGGTTTGCAGTCATGGATGTTAATGCCGTGAATGATGATGTTATTAGCCTGGTGAATCTTTAAGCAAGGTCCATCGGTTATGTGAACACTAGAGCCTCTACCATCAATGGTCTTGAAAGATGAGATGATGAGTTCTTTTTGGAGTTTAATGACCATATCTCTCTTGAAAATGATCCATAATGGTTCTTCTTGTGTGACCGCATGTCTTAGTGTTCCAGGTCTTGGGTTTATTGGATCGTCGTTGGCTGGATCTGTGACCACGTAAATTCGGCCATCACGGCCACCGATGGCGTTTTTGCCAAATCCAATAGCACAATCGGCTAGCCGTTGGCGGTTTGTGTCCCACTTTGGATCGCAACGCCAACAATCATCGATTGGATTTCCGGTTCTACAGGATAGGTAGGCCAGGCTCCTCCTTGACGCATTGAATACACTTCTACATACAGACAGAATTTATAGACAAATATATTCGTATTAGTTTAGAAGTCTACCCATTTAAATGTGAACACATTAGTTATGGTCCTTGTGGAAAAATGTCGGCAGAATTGGAAAGTAGTTATGAAAACTCATTATAAATAAATAAATATAGCTAGCTAGATATATTATACAGTACTGTTAAATTTGAGAAGATTTTCTTTCTCATACGGATTTCTTGATTTTAGATGAATAAAATAGAAGCTAGCCCATTAAAAATGAATTAAATGATAACGCAAATATATAGATTGAGAAGTTTGCAGAAAGATGACAAAAAGTCATTTGATGGGAAGCATAATGTGAACCACAATAAGTTTGTTTTCGGTTAAGGGTTGGTTTTATTAATTTTAAAGCTTATTTTTACAAATTCTTATTTTTATTTGGATTTGTAAATCTGTAAATTTGAGTGAGCCATAGTGAACCATAACTTAACTGAAACGACCAAAAACAATGAAAGATGATTATGGAACCAAATGCTACATTTTATATACAAACTATCCTAACGATTGTATTACTATGACATTTTATATTTACAAAGCAACATTGTTATAAAATTAAACTGTGAACTATTCTTTCTAATTTTTAACGTACCTATTGACTTCGTCAACTACTAGCTTCGGATCTTGAGAATGCGGCAACGAACTCGCATATAATGAAATCGTGTTGCCGATTGATAGGATAAGTATAAGAGTGTACACAAAAGGATTACTAGAATACGAAGTCATTATTCTAAATAAGAAAGGAGAGAAAAATATTACAATAAGAGAAGAAGTTTCTGATGTGTGTGTTGAAGCTTGCTATTGTTGGAAAGTATATAAAGAGGAGAGTTCCGGGAGTGGAGGCGTGATTTAGTTTAAATTATTACTATGAGATATAATATAGTTTTTTGTGAAATTAACTATGGGACCTACTTCATCGTAATTTCAGGTGAGAATCGTGAGATTAACCAAACGGTTAATGTTGTGTAACCGTTAACTGGGTTTAGTAGTCAAAAGTTGTTGCACAAAGTCAACCTTTCCGACCTTCCGTTTTGCAACTTTTCTCCTTTTTTTTTTGTCCCTCGCATCATTTTTGTGTGTTTAAACGATATGATTATCTTTGTAATTTGTACGAGTAAAACATAAAACCGTTAATTGAGCATGGTAGTCAAAAGTAATTGCTTAAGGTCAACATTTTTGACATTGATACGACGACGTTTCCATTTTTCTTCCCTACACTATGCATTAAAAGAACAACTTATTTTATGACATCATATATAGGTGTAAGGTGTTCATGTGTTGTGAATTTGTGATGATATTTAGAAACCAAACCATTCTGATTTTTGCACAGCTCCTCCACGTACGGTCAAATAAAGAGAGCTTTGTGATACCCGACAACCATCGAGGGAGACTAGCTTCTCCTTAAAATGCAGCGGAGAGCTATTGAGTTCAATTTATATCGTTTGACATGCATAAAAATATCACCTAGCAAGTACACTCTCTAAATGATTAACTTTTTATAACTTTTATTAATATGATAACAATACAAAGTTGGTGTTAACCAAGACAAGTTGTATTTAGAATTTAGAATGTTTCCTTTTAAATAGATGTTGTAAATATAGAAAACATTATTAAAAAGGGGTTTAGAAGCCCAACTAAAGCCCATAACTGAATCCCTCCGATTGATATCTATCTATACTATTATTTGCGAAATGATTTTTCGCAACAGAGCTCCCACGTTAAAAGTTGGAGTAGTTAATATTATTTATACCCTTAATGAATAAGATATATAAATCAGCTCAAAATAAAAAACGAATCAATATTTTTTGATTAGATAAATGATTTAAATTAATAATAATGATAAGAATTATCCATAATCTAGATGTATATCTAGATGTATATTTAAAAATAAAATAAAAAGATAATTCCTATATATATTGTGTTGTTATCATAAAAATATATTTTAATTAATATATAATCAACCATAAATTAGAAACAAATTTCACTGATGACTATTATTATCTAAAAATAGTTGATATTAATAAACCATAAACTAAAACTGAATTAATATATAAGTAACAATAAATTAATTATATTTAAAAAGTGATTTTGCTGATTTATCATATTCTCCATAATTTTATGTAGTTATACTTATTTATCATGTTTTTTATGATTTTGACTAATAATTAATTATTACCCTTAATTAATGACTAAATAAAATTATTATTATATAATTATGAACCGTGTATTAAATAGATTTACTACCCTTAATGACAAAGCAAAACATAAACTTAATGACTAATTGGATTTATTACTATATAATGACCAATTAGATCTATTACTATATAATAATTATAAACAAATCTTATTTGTCATGTTTCTTATGATTTGATGATTATCATTATCTAGACTAATGCTTATAATAAATCTAATTATTCATTATATAGTAATAAATCTAATTAGTCATTAACTTTATGTTTGTTTTGTCATTAAGGGTAGTAAAAATCATAAGAACATGACAATTAGATTTATTATCCTTAAAATGATATTTTAAATTTATGGGTATTTTCACATTTAATTTGTATAATGACAATTATTTATATGATGATGACTAATTATTAGAAAATTATTAAGCCCACGAGTGCGGAAAAAACACCTAGTATATAACTGAAGGAAAAGAAAGAACATCATCCACAACAAGGAGGAGGAGATATGTCGACGTTAGATAATCTGTCGGTAGATTTTGCTACCGTGACTAGGGATTACTGGCGTCAAGTCAATAGAAGTAAAAAAACATTTACCGATTCCTCAATTTGAAAACAAATCATAGCTACATCAGCGTTGTCGTTTAAGAGAAATTGACTGTCTCGATTACTCTGTTGAACATTTTGGAAACTCGATGTACTCATAAGAGTTCTAACCGTGTCCTCGTCTAGGTAGCAGCTTCCAATCAAGCGTAAAGACTCCATACGATCAGCTGAAAGGGATCCAAGCGAAACAGGCCTGCTAGGGGCCATCGTCATGATTTCACCACAGCTGTAAACAAAAATAAAGAGCTATCAGGAAAACAAATTAAGAGAAAATAACAACGTACGTATTAAGAGAAAATTTGGATTGTACCGGGCTTCTCCCAAGACTGGCTTCTTCGGTTCTTTCCAAGAAAGTTTCACACTATTGTCCCCCATGAAAGAAGGGTTTTTTTTACTGCAATTCCTGTAATATACATGAACTACTTAAATTTATTAACTGCTTTAAGAAAATCTGAAGATATAATTATGTTTGTCAGTCACCTCTATCATTGCCATTAAGTTAATGCAACTCCTGATTTCAGCTTTTGTATTATGCCTCCTCCTTCCATGTAAGAACTTAAGCTTCATGAGACATCCAAGATGACGACCAGCGTATGCAGATCTCTTACTTTCCTCAATTTCTTCCTCAACACCCCGAATGGCTGTGTTAACGTCACACAAGGTTTGAGATAGTTCCTCTATTCTTTCCTTAGTTTTGTTTTTTAAACTCTTCCGTCTGCAAAGATATTTTCTTTATTAGTGCAGGAAGTTGAACCAACGTACCAAAAAATTAAGAAAACATAATGGAATACCTCTCCCCTTTAAACTCTTGTGAACCTCTACTTTTGCAGCCTATATTTCAAACAGAAACACATGCATGTTATAGAAGGCAGACAAAAATAATTTGAAGAGCAACTAAACTCATTAGTTTGAGGAATACCTATTAGGATATATCTAAATCATACTTATCTCTTAGATTATATTTCTTTATTACATTTGGATTGGCTTTCCTATTGTTGATAGATTTAGGAACTTATGTCATGTATATAAAGAGACCTTGAGGTCTAATATGAATAACATAAACGATTTGATATTATAGAACTTCTCAGTACCTTGTGGGACAAGTTATGAAATACATAGAACAGGCACTCGAGATGTCTGAAACTCTTGTTTTCCTCAAACTTGCTCTTCTTTATTTTGGCAGGCATGTACTTCTAAGAGCAAATAACAATAAAGAATTGATAAGTCTTTAAATTGTATAATTGATAAAACATTAAAAACTATATATATATATACCTCTAAAAGACCAATTACTGAGGGAAGCATCTCCTCTGCTAGATGAGTTGTTGTGAGTGGGGAAATCTCAGCAAAATCTCTCAGAATTTCTAGCTTCCTCTGCTCTGGCAGCTAATATTAAAAACGATTTGATAAAATATTGATAAACAAATTAATATATTTTATTTATATTCTGAATTATTGTTTTTCATAATTTTATTTTTATTTTTGCTCAAAATTTTCTTATGTTTTACTTATGTATTTCTTATTTTTTACTAACTTTTTTATTTTAATGTACACTAGATCTTGATCCGCTTGTCCGAGCGAGTGTTTGGTTATAATAAGATAGATGATGAATATTTTAAATTAATGCTATCAAATTGTATAGTAAATACAATTAATGAAATGGTTAAAATAAAGTAAAAACGAATATAAGCTATAATAAATCATTTAAAATATATAAAATTTATTTTGTACTTCAGTTTTAATAGAATGAATAATATGTTTTTAACCATTGTGAATACCATTAGCGTAACTGTTTATTTTTATGTTTTAGATACATGCATTATTTAATTTTGACATATTGGTGTATTGTTTATTGTCTTTAGGTTTTGAGCTTTATAAATTTTGTTATTATTTTAATGCCCTTTGCAGGATTTTATGCATTTTATTATAGGAATGTAGTTAGTAATTAGTTTAAATTAAAAATTAAACAATTAATATTAATGTAGTGGAATGAAATGGTAATTGTTTAGGAAAATAATTAAATAGTTAATATTAATGTAATGGCATGAGATGATAATTCTTTAGAAAAATCAAGGATATTTCAAATTTGTACTCCCCTTTTAATAGTTTAGATGTACTTGTAGAGAAAATCTATGAATCTCTCTTTTCATATCTAATTCCATTATGGGTCATTCAATATCTCTTTGTGTTTCTTCTGCAATGTATATGTTTTAAGATTTTAAAAGAATACATGGATTATTGAATGTGATTTGCTAGAATAAGAAATAAACTATCTATTTCTTCATCTAGGTATTTTTTAATATTTAAATTGGGTTGATCACTTAGTTTGTTTAAAAATAAAAATCTCTGTATAATAACCTAATAAACTTAATTAACTTTTTAAAATGAAAGAAAACATATATAACTAATTTACTATAATTATCAATACACAACTTTATAAAATACTAGGGTAGGTCTGTGCTTTCGCGCGACATTGTTTTCATTTGTTGTGTGTAGAGTAATTTTTGTTGGTTTAAAGGTTATATTAATTTATTTATATGAAACTATATGGCATTGGGTTATTTTTCGTCTATAGATTCAAAGTCATATGTGTGTAATTGCCATTCATTTTGACATACCTGCATCTTACAATTATATAGATGGCTTGAATGTTTCTATGGTGTGATTAATTTTTAGGGTTTTGTTTCCGTTAAGTGCTTCATTTGATATTTGTTGATATCACTCAAATGTTTAACCCTAAGGAGTGAATTACTCTCTCAAATAAGAGGTTCAATTGTAGTACTTAGGGATCGAATCCACATAGAGCAGGAACACACAATAGACTATAGAAATCAAAGTTAAGCTAGGTAAACAATTTATAAAACAGTAAATAAAAGCAATGTGAACGAAGTAGTTGTTCGATTGGTTGAATTTATAAACAATAAAGAGAAATAGCTAGACCTAGGGATTTATCAATCAAGAGATTCAAAACAACAATTCAAGATGCTAACAGCTTATAGATTCATTCTAGAACTCGATTTTAATAAGTAAGTAATTCATCTATCAATGCAATTACTAATCAGATGTCTAAGTCCTTGTTCCACCTTTCGCATGCGAACAAGAAGTGAGTATCGATCGATACTATGGCCTGAGTATCGATCGATATTACCTCAGACAAGCATTAACGACCTAATCGATTATGTTCAACTAGATTCCTAGACCAAATTCTCATATGCGCCTAAGTATCTAATCCAGC